CCGCCTCCGCCGGGCCCGGGGCTGCCACGCTGCGTGTCCCTGTGTGTCCCCCCTCCCCTCCACCCCCGGGCGGCGGGGGAGCCCCCCGGGGTCGCCTTCCCCCTCCCCGCCGCCCCGGGCTGGTCCTGCCCCCGCGGGCGGTTTGCTGCAGCGCACGCGGTGTTGTTTCCTGCGTTGGGGTATTTTAAAAAGCGTTGGGGGGGGGGGGAAGAGACGTAGGCCGGTGATGTCCGGGTGAAATACGATCCAGCGCCAAGTGGGTTTCAGGGATTCCTAAGCTCAGTGGTTTTTCCAAGAAGCGCTTGAGCTCCGCTACTTTGATGACAATTGCGTCAGCGAAATTTTAAGTAGAACTCTTCCTTGGTTCGCTACCCAAGCTGGAAGAGTTCTGCAGCAGGGACTGGTTTGGGCTTCAGAGGGGCACCTGACTTCTTAACGCTCCTTAGCACAGAGGGGTGGCAAGTCTGGGTGAATATCCTACTAAGTAATAATTCTGTTGTTGTGGATCTGAGTTTTTTTTCCAAAACGATGCTGAGAATATGGAATAGCTTGAATTGAAATATTGAGTGCTTCACAATTTGAATGTTACGCCAAGTGCCTTTAAGCACACACTTGAGAACAGAAGTATGAAAACAGGCTCTTTGATACAGCAGACAAAGATTCAATAGCTGAGTCAAAACTATACCAGGCCAACAACGAAGCTTAAGTCTTTAAGAGTGACGTTAATGAACCATTGGAACAGTGTAGTATGGGTTGCGATAGGGGATGCTCTATTTCAAGTGGGAATTAATTCCAGGAAAGTCTTCCTAAAAAAAAGTTCTACAACTGTTTTAAAAGTTCTTTTTGTTGTTTTTTAGGTTGGTCCAAAAAAGGAGGTAGCAGAATGTAAGGAAAAGTTCGCAAGTTCAGTGGATCCAACGGTTAGTCAAACTTTTATGCTAGACCGAGTGTTCAATCCTGAGGGGAAGTCATTGCCACCTATGCGAGGATTCAAGTATTCCAGCTGGTCACCGCTCGGCTGCGACGCAAATGGAAGGTGCCTGCTTGCAGCTTTAACCATGGACAATCGATTGACCATCCACACAAACCTCAACAGACTGCAGTGGGTGCAGCTGGTGGACCTGACACAAATCTATGGGGAGCGTTTGTATGAAGCCAGTTACAAACTTTCTAAGGCTGACACTCCCAGGGGAGAACTAGGAGACTTCTCTGAATTTCAGCGACGGCACAGCATGCAGACTCCAGTGCGGATGGAGTGGTCGGGCATCTGCACCACTCAGCAGGTTAAACACAACAACGAATGCCGGGATGTTGGTAGTGTGCTCTTAGCAGTACTCTTTGAAAATGGTAACATTGCAGTTTGGCAATTTCAGCTTCCATTTCTGGGTAAGGAATCCATTACTTCTTGCAATACCATAGAGTCCGGAATAAATTCCCCAAGTGTGCTATCTTGGTGGGAATATGAACATAACAACCGAAAGATGAGTGGGCTTATTGTAGGGAGTGCTTTTGGACCAGTTAAGATCCTTCCTGTCAATCTGAAAGCAGTCAAAGGCTACTTTACGCTCAGACAACCCGTAGTCTTATGGCAAGAAATGGACCAGTTACCAGTGCATAGTATCAAATGTATTCCTCTTTACCACCCCTACCAGAAATGTAGTTGTAGCTTAGTGGTGGCTGCAAGAGGAGCTTATGTGTTTTGGTGTCTGCTCTTGATATCCAAAGCAGGTCTGAATGTCCATAATTCCCACGTGACGGGGCTTCATTCTTTGCCAATTGTATCTATGACGGCAGACAAACAGAACGGCACGGTGTATACGTGCTCCAGTGACGGAAAGGTAAGGCAGCTGATTCCTATATTCACAGATGTTGCTTTAAAGTTTGAGCACCAGCTGATTAAGCTCTCAGAAGTGTTTGGCTCTGTCAGGACTCACGGAATAGCTGTTAGCCCATGCGGTGCATACTTAGCAGTTATTACGACAGAGGGCATGACGAACGGTCTGCACCCAGTCAACAAAAACTACCAAGTTCAGTTTGTAACCCTTAAGACTTTTGAGGAGGCAGCTGCGCAGCTCTTGGAATCTTCTGTTCAGAACCTTTTCCGGCAAGTGGACTTGACAGATCTTGTACGCTGGAAAATTTTGAAGGATAAGCATATTCCTCAGTTCTTACAGGAAGCACTGGATAAAAAGATTGAGAGTTGTGGTTCTACTTACTTCTGGCGGTTTAAGCTATTTCTCCTGAGGATTTTGTACCAGTCAATGCAGAAAGCTCCCTCGGAGGTCATGTGGAGACCTTCACATGAGGATGCAAAAATCTTGATATCAGATTCCCCTGGGATGGGCAGCACTGAGGATGATCAAGAGGAAGGGACTTCTAAACAAGCCAGCAAGCAGAGCCTATGTGACACAGGCAAAGGTATGGACATAGATGACACTGCAGATGATTCTCTTCCTCAGTCAAGTGACATAGGAGGCCGCGAGCCAATGGAGGAAAAGCTTCTTGAAATACAGGCACAAATTGAGGCAGTAGAAATGCACTTGACACGAGAACACATGAAACGGGTGTTGGGAGAAGTTTATCTACACACATGGATTACAGAGAACACCAGTATTCCCACCAGAGGAGTCTGTGACTTCTTAATGTCCGATGATGGCTATGATGACAGAACAGCACGAGTAAGTGCACCTCCTATGCTCTGGGGATTCAGTGTTACAAGTTACTTCTTTCTCCCCCCTCCAGATCCTTAAATGAAAATACAACTTTGGGGTGGGGAAGAGAGCTGTAATCATGTCATCCTTGCTAGTCAGCTTCTATAGAGCACACAGCTTAAGTTGTCCTTCCTTGAAATTATGGAGTAGGAGGGAATGTAAATACAGATGATGAAATCTGGATCAGGTACAATAAAGAATAAGCGTGCCTGAGTCTTTGCAGAACAAGGGAGAGGACCATGGTTATTCTGCTGCTGTTGGTGGGTTTAAAACAGGTACCGATTGAGAGAGGTGTTTTATTTTCATGGCTAAACTTATTTAATCTATCATCTCTACAAAACTAATCTTAGGAGGTATTTGCTCTAGTCAGTTACATCTGCATTTGTAACTTTAAGGGTTGCAGTATCACTTCTTAAAGTATGATTGGAAGTACTGTGACTGTTCAGGTGGTATGTCAGGTCTTGTCATTGCTCCATGAGCCTTCAGTGGAAAGATCAATTGCAGAGGTTCAGAAAGTGATTGTGTTTTACGAGTTAAATCCAGTGATTCAGAACTTTATGCAGGACTTTCAGTTAACCAAGCTGACTGAATGTCTTTGTTATAACGTACATGGCCTGAATCTTCAGGCACGCTTGCATTTATTGAACTACAATAAATAAGCATAACGGAATGCTTGGCCATGGTAGGAACTCTTCCGAAACTTGCAATACTCCCTACCAAAATAAAAGCATAACTGCAAGGACAGTATCCTGGCTATTGCAATGTGTAGAATAAGCATTTGTGGCAGGAAATAAGTGATCAGTGAACCTTGCACTAGGCAATGAAGTTTTCTGAATATAGACATCAGACAAAGGAAGCTTCAGTGGGAACACTCTGCCATCAGCCTCCTGGCTCTTAAGACTTGATGACAAGAATATCTCAGATGTCTCTACCTCTTTGAGCAGAGAACAGTTCTTTTCAGTACCAAAGTCCTTAAATCACTTGAACTCTAAAAAACAACCTTTACATTGCATCCAGAAAGACAGAGGAAAGAAGTACATTTCCATTACTGATGTAGTGTGGTGTTCTCCCTGCTGGACTTAGAATCAAGCAGGCCACACAGTGTGGCCATCAGTAATTCACTAGGAAAGTATTCGGGCAGGACTGCTGTGTTTTTCTAGCATTCAATTACTATGAATTAGAGGTTTGAGAAGTTGCTTTTCTCATCTTGTAAACAAGATTCTTCTTTTTATAGTGATTAATAGCTGACTTCCAAATTCTATTTTATCTATTCAGTTTGCTTTCACATTTTAAAGGTCCTTGGGATGTGATTTATATCTATTGAAATGTCAAAGACAAATCTGATCACATAAATGTTGTACTATAAACATTATGTATACTCTAAGATGACTGCTGAAGGCCTGCATCCAGGTAATTTCTGAACAGGACTTTTTTTTTTTTTAGTACATCCATTGTGATAGGCATGAGAATGTGAAAGCACTGCTATAATGCTCAGTGGCATCCTCTAAAGTGGTATGATAGCAATTTCTTCAGTACTTCTAAAATTTGCAAGTAGCTCAACATAACACTATTGCTCTTAAGTTCTGTATTCCTTTGCAGAAATCTTTAGGAGGTGACAATAAAATGAGAATAGATTAATACTTATCAATGTATTGTATTGCTTATGCTTTTATTTTTTTTTTAATTCAGTGAAGAGCACAGATCTTTGCATCCTGTATCATATTCTGAAATCACAATATCCTGAGAGACATTTCCACCTTTCAGTAGGCAGCTGTCTTGCTGTAAACAATGCTGACTGCTGTGTATTCCCAGGTGCTGATTGGGCATATCTTAAAGAAAATGAACAAACAGACTTTTCCAGAGCACTGCAGCTTGTGTAAAGAGATCCTGCCATTCACTGATCGCAAACAGGCAGTCTGCTCCAATGGACATATTTGGCTCAGGTAATTCGTTCTTAAAAGAGTTTTTGCCCTCCTCTGGATAATTTAAACATACTTAAATAGCTAACCTAAAACACTTCATAGTGTTGGAGTAAAAAGTCATGAAGCATGTTATCCATGCTGCAGTTAATTGCCATTTTTGCTGGCTGTTATCTGTCCTCTTCCATGAGAGAGAGAGAGAGGGCATTGTAGATTGGATTTGCTTCTCTTGTCAGTACACTGTTTTTAAAATAAAATGCTTTTGATCGTCTTAACTTTTTTCTTCAAGCAGGGGCAGGATGGGGGCAGGGAGAAAGTAGGCGAGGGAAAATCAAGCGCGAGTCATCCTTTGGAACAGCACATGAAGGAGGGTTTGTTCTAGCTACTTCAGCATTTGAAAACAAAGTAATTTAACAAAAAATGATGGGAAACAGCTACACTGAGAAGTCAGACAAGTTCTGGAACATGTAGGAAAGGAAATTTTCCAACATCGATGTATGGGGTATGTGGTGATTGTCCCTGGAGACTTGGCAAGTCAGTAGTCTGTCGCAAAGAAAAACCTTTGCCTAACGGATATTGTGTATGTGCTAGGTTGGCTAAATAGTCATTGCCTTACAGACACCGTGGTTCTTCCCCTGTGCAGTAACCCTCAAGCTTTTCACCTCTTCTACTCTATACTAAAATTTTTTGGCCAATGATGAAATTTTTCTCAATGGTATATTGATTTTTGGCCTTTTTCATTTTTGTGATCATATGTAATTGGGTACACTTGTGAAATTTCATTTACCTGGATTAATCAATTATTAATTTTTGTGTTTCATGTGGCTCATTACTGCCCTTACTCTCAGAAAGCAAGGTCTATTGGGAACAGAACTCAGCCTCCAGTCAGGGCATAGGAACAGGTCACAAAACAAAACAATAAAACCCCAAGCCTCTTGATAAAATTACTTGTTCTTTCACAGGTGCTTTCTAACCTACCAATCCTGTCAGAGTTTGGTATACAGGAGGTGTTTGCTTCACGACAGCATTGCACGGCATCCAACCCCAGAAGGTAAACTGTTCCTGTAGCCTAAAGGGGCAGGATTATGTATTCTTAAGTTTTATCTGCAAAATGATTTGAATTAGTTTCACTGACTTCTCTTTTAGGCAGTTACCATGTGAAGTACTAGTACTCTGCATTTCAGTGTGCTGTTGTTGTCCATGCATTAGTGGCATACGTTAATTACAAAGTAGCGACTGCAGAAATTAATTTATAAATACTACATTTTAATGAGAGCTGGGTAGACACGTAATCTGTGCTGGAGTGCTACAACAGTTACTTTATATTCAAGGGGAATATATTAGCATCCAGTTCAGCAAGAGCTGAGGGTCTTTGAAAGTCTGTTTCAGTGCAAGCTGTATTGATCCAACACAGGTTAAGAAATAGTTGGCACCTTGCTGGCTTAGGTCCCAAACCTACCATAAGTACATCATTCAGAGACAGTAATGGCAGGCCGTGGGGGCCAGGTAACCTTTTGCCTTTGTGTTTTCAGAGTTTGAGGAGGGACAACCTTGTGCGAGAAAATTGTTTTCTTCCCAACTGGTACACTTAAAAAAAATCATGGAGTACTCAAACAGTTTGTCTCAAAGTGTAGGTGATACTTTTCCTCTCCCTGTAATATATGGGTATTTCAGACAGCACTAAGGATCAACTACAGAATTTAAACCTCTGTAGAGAGAGGCTGTAAACTTAATTTCCTTATATTGGAGAGGGACAAAGAAACAGGAACCAAGGACTGCATTTTGTAAAGGATCTAATTTCAGTTCAGAAAATAAGAGCACTACATTTTTGGCATGGTGATCCTTTAAATTTTTTTCCTATATAGCTATTTAGATGAGTACGTAATGATGTACTGTGGGCTGTTTCACCTTCATTTTGTCCCCTACTGAAGTGGGATTTAAACTGGCATTACTTGAAATTTCAAGACAGAAGTAGAGTTGGATTCCTCTGAACTTTTCAGTTAATCCTGCATGGTGAATATATACAAACTGTTTCGGGATTACCATTTAGTTTGTCCCTCTCAAGTGTCATTCCTGTGTTGATCTCTACCTCCAGCTTTAAAGATCTTGTTTTCTTATTTGCAGATCCTGAATGGATCAAGAGGTTATTGCAAGGACCTTGCACGTTCTGTGATTCTCCTGTGTTCTAGAGAAAAGCTATGTAAAGATTGAAAGTATTTTCTCTGTGGCATAAGCTCCCTTCAGTCTCGAAGGATATAGAACATAAGAATACAGACTTTACTAGAGGGGGAAGACGTTGTCCACAGCCCTGTAAATAGAACATCGGAGGCTGTAGAAACCCCTTAAATCCAGAGCCCGTTCCATGCTCCAGAAACAGGAGTACATCTGGAAGAATGAGTTTATAAGGCGGTTTGGAAATGCACCCCATTGAAGCATCAGCAGCTGGACAGGCTTCCTCTTACTGGAAAGGAACTGAAGTCTTAAGCACGCAGTGTGAACTGTCCTTCGTGCCTGACAAGTGTGTGATTTCCCCAAAGCTGGGACGGGAACAGTGGAGCTGCCTCTTGAATGGTCTTGGTGGGTAGAGAAGGCTTCAGCCTGTAGTGCTCTCGTTTGCTTTTTAACAAGCACTGGCACTCGCTGCAGAATATTAAACTATCAAAATAATTTGTGGTTCTAATTTCTCACAGAGTGAAGCATGTGCCAGTTACAGCCATATGAAAGAAATTGGCCATTATATTAGTTTCACTTGAAGTCTAGAAGAATAACTGCCTCTTAACTGTTGTAACAATATTGCAGTCAGAAGGGTAATATTGGCTGCCTGGGTCAAATAACAGATCAGTAAGAATAACTTTTAAATGTAATAATTATTAAACTAATAGCAATTAGATTAAACACTAACCTAATTTCCAGTGCTTTTAAGTCTCATGCCCCACTTTCTTTTTCTGACCTAAGTTCTAACTACTTCCTAGCTTTTGCCAATGTATATGCCTTTTGTTTCACTTTACCACCAGGAATCATCTTTTCCAGTGTAACTCGGTTAACAAAAACATTACTGATTTACCTTATTTTCAGTTGAATTGAGAGTTTCCCTCATACAGTAGCTGAGTTTTACAGAAGTTTGACACACAAGTAATCACTCCCAGCTGACAGTTTCTCTCTTCATAATAATGCAGTAAAGAAAAAAAACCCAAACCAAAACTCCACCATGGCTAATGTGTTATAGGTAGAGTTTCCACCAGTGGTCATGGAGTCTGGTGAAGCTATTCATATATAACTTTGACATTCTCATCAAGAGATTCATAAATACGCCAATGATGTAGCATGGCTAAGCCCAGAAATTTATTCTGCCTTCTAACTGTCCTATCATAATAAAACCATCTTTCTCTCTTTGGCATCTAGTTCCTATGGGGAGCAGGAGAATCCTTTTGAACTTCCTATGCAGTGTTAGAGGAATAATACCTCCAAAATGTGTGTGGTTATCTGGTACAGTTTGTCTTGTTAACTTAAATCCATGTTGTCAAATAATCCAAAGTTTATGTATTTACATTCTTCAGAGTACCAATCTGGACACTCGGATAAGTTGCCCTGTTTGTGATCATGACACTTCTAATTGTGTATGGAGTGCTCTACAGCTGTTTGAGAAATCAAGGAATCGTCCTGGCAGTATCAGTCTCCAACAATGCATGTGTGGATTGGTGCTTAAGTTTCCTTGATTCAATGACTATGCATATTTTCTTAATGTTCCTTCACCTTTAGTAGGAGCAAATTTTTTTCAGCTAACGTTAAAACAAGTCAGCTGTCCTTACTATTCAGTGTTTCATGCATTAAGCGTGATAGTGCTTCGACTGAAAATAATATTAATATAGTAGCCTAGAACAGCGGAAGCACATTCATCTGTAAAATAATTAGCCTTGTTTGTAAATATCCTTGGAAGTGATACCATAACATTAAAGAAATGTTTAGTTTTTTATTGCTGTGCATTGAAAATTGAAATTACTTCAGTGTGTCTGCAAAGAAAGAAAATGTAGATCGTGTTATCACCTAGTAAAACAAAGAGTAACCTTGATACCCAGCGTGTGCGTAGTTTGGGGCCAGGTACTGTACCTGGGGCAGCATTTGTCTTCTTCCCAGTGCTGATGGGGTTTGCGGGGAACAGAACATCAATTTCCAGTATGAGCTGAACAGGTTTGTTCATGGGGGTAGGGAAAACATTTTAAGTGGAAGCTGCAAGTCCTTGTCCAAGGCAGTCCTAACCAGTTCATCAGCGAGGAAGTGTTCGATTCAGAAGTTCATCTGACTATGGAAAAAGGTGAGAGAGCTCTCCAGAACCATGTGTAAATGCTTTAAAAAAAAAGTCAGCATTTCTTTGATATTGGCTTAGAAACCATAATAATATTCTGATCCACTGAAATGTTTAAGTCTGACTGACCAAAAGGTTCAGCTTGGTATCATTAGATTAATTCCTGGTGATTATTTCTAGCAGTTATCTTGAATTTCCCTGGATTGAGTTTTAATGCTTTAGACATGTAGAAGCTCTAGTACACCTAGCATTAATGTTGCAGCATTAATGTTTATTTTCCTTGTCTTTCAAGGCAGTAGACACTCAGTATACCATTGCCAGTTTATTTAACCTGATTTATGACTGCTGGGAGAATGGAATTTTAAAGCCAATGATGTCGGCTTTGTCTGCATGCCAGTGGAGATCCTTTAGCACAAAGCTTTCACTTCTCACCCTGACCCATTCACAACAGGTAAAGAGGTATTGTAATTTTTTTTTTTTTTTAAACCATCACTGGTCCCTAAAGTGTATTTTTAACTAGTGTAGGCTTGAATAGTATAGCACGCCTCAGACCAGTAACATTTAACCTCTGATGCTGATCTTACTGGATTTTTCTGCCCAGCTAGCAGCGGAGACTTCCTTCAGGAAACCTTTTATCTGTCTTGGACTCATGACTTGCAGTTCTGGGAATGTGGAGGTTAGTCCCATTCCTGTTGGAGTACTCTAACAACCTGCAGGGCTGCAGCAGCACCTTGATGCATTATCCTTTACCTTGTCCTAATGAAAACCCTTGCTTTCATCCCACACGGGGAAGGTGAGTGGGTGAGGAAGGTATGAGCACCTGCTGCCAGATCCTTGTGCTATTTTGCCATTAACAAGAGCTGCCTTCTCAAACTAATACATAGTGGAGCTATCCGATATTAAGGCCCAGTCTGTTTTGAAACACCAAATGAAGTATTCAAAGAATAAGTCCCACAAAATCAAACAGATTATCTCACTAAGTTTTTGTTTTAGATACCTTGCAAACCTTAGAGCAAATGAATAGTTGAAAGCTCTCTCAACTGCTTCACCATTTAGTAGTAAACACTGTGGCTGCTCATGGTGCCTCATCTCCAGAAGAAGAATAACGCTCCAGCAGAGAGACTAAGTGGTTCTTGATACGCTGCTGCTTTTTTTTTTTTTTTTTTTTTAAAAAAAAGGATTGTGATACTTGCTCTTGCATCTGAGAATTAATAGCCAGAGATGCTGTGTTCTGTGTCTGAAGCTAAGGCGTCATTGTCCTTGATAAGTAGCTTCTGATAGCATTTAAGATTTGCTACTCGCGCTGATAACAAGAGTTAATCCCTCCTCCACTGGGATGAAGAAATCCAGGCTAATCAGGTTTGATGGATAAGCAGAACAGCTCTGGCCTGTACAGCTTCTTAGTGCCTTGGTGCTAGATGCCATTGTCTGAACTAAGGTGAAAGTTTGGGCTCATGAGTATTCTGTCTTGGGTCTGCAAACTACACCTCCTGCTCTGGAATTGGTGACAGTGGAACTCATTGCTGCCTTTTACCTTAATTCAGCTATGGGTTGGGGACTTAATCATTCAATCATCCTTTCCTTTTGTATGATCCCCCATTCTATTAATCCTATTGTATATTTCTAGAGAGGAAATATTATGGTTGCCAATGCATACATAGAGGCAATAAATATTTCCCTGATTTTCTTAAACTTACCAGGTTTTCCACTAGCTAATGTATCATCAGTGATTATGCGCAGCATAACACCGTTTATTCTATCCTTATTAAGGGTTTCTTGACATAAAAGAACTGAACACAAACATTTATAGTCCTAGTTAAAAGCTAACAAATCACACTTGTGCTGTTATGCCCTAAACTAACATTTACAGGAGACTTGTTTGTACAAGTTTAATTTCTCAAATACAGAGCCCGCCCTTTATGACCCACGCAGTTTGTGAAGCAGCGGGCAGCCTTGCAGGCACAGCTGCTGGACTCTCAGTTGCCGCTTACAGGTACGGCCTCAGAGAGAGAACGAGGAAGAGAACCTAACCCTGCTCCTCAGAGCCCTCACCATGGAGCAGGTCGGGGATAATCACTGAAGCCGTTGCTCTTTTGCCAACATCTAAACTTTGTGTGTGAGACAGATGTGCAAGGCCAGTTAGATGTGCCTACCAGTAGATTATCTTCAGGACAGTGGCTGCGGGAAGAGGAAGGTACCTCTTCATTCTCTCTTGTCTGTCTTTCTGCTGAGTGGAGCTGTAGGTATGTCAGTGAGAGGCCACCATGTGCCTGCTTCCTACTGTCAGTCATGCTGAAGTGCTTGCTGGCATTTTACAACCTAATACATGCTGGGTTTTGAATTCTTTCTGGCAGTCACCTTGTGTGTAGTTAGTAGCAGTCCAATACTTAACAATATAATAAACTTCAAAATTTGTCGCAGAGCACTAGTTCCTATTTTTGCAGCTGGAAGTAAGGGTAACAGCAGTCTTAGCCTCAAAGTGTTGGTAGTCATGGCAAAAGTCAGATTTATAAGCATCTAAATTATCTGGAAGAAGGTGTTTATGAGTTCTCAGTGCATAAAGGTGAAATGGTCAGAGTAGTTACCAATCCTACGTCTGTCCTCATCCTCCTTTTGTATTCCCTTTTGAAGCTTTCTGTATCATCAGGCCTGTAAACGCACAAATTATGCTGGTTATACTCCAGACTTGCATTGAAGCATGTAGGGTTTATTCTTTAACCAGAACCAGTACAAATGTCTGCGTGGAGATGCCTGCTAGTTTACAGCTCCACTGGTGAATACCAGGTTGAAAGCTGCTTTTTTCCCCTCCATGTGGGTAAACAAGGACAACTTGAGCTTGGCTCTATTCATCTGCAGTCCTGTCCTAGCTGTCGAAGGTGCAGGAATCTTAACAAGACAGAGTCGAGCCTTCTCTTCGAAGTCTCAATCCAGGATAGGTTTTCACAACTTTTAGAGGTTAGTATGTGTGTACAGCAATGCCCACAGAGCTTTAGTTTTCACCTCTAACGGAGGAGGGCCGTGTATACATACTCAGATTTCTGTCTGTGCTAATCTTTGGCTGTACTCGTTTCTAACTCATATTTACACTGGAGATGTTCCCAGACCCTCAGTGTCAGCTGAAATATTCTTATTCTGTCACTATTTTTTCATGCTAACTCAGTTTTAGCACTCTTCACTTGAAAGACCTGGAACTTCTGCTGCTTGGTCATGATCTGGGTAGTGACCTCAGGAGTGTCACAGCTGCCTGTGGATGATTGTTTTCATTGTTGCAATGCAGCTGTCGCATGGGGCACTTGCTAGCATTAACTACACTACAGTTTGGGGCAGAAAGCAGAGTAATTCCCTGTACTGTCCTAGGCTACAGCTGAATCAAACCAAAATGTGAATGTTTGGAGCACCTTCATCACAGGAGGACTCGCGCACTGCTGAGAGCCTACAGCAGGAGTTACGGGGCTGTGCCAGCCCTGCAGCATTCTTTAACATGAAACTGGGAGGCCAGCCCTGAAAAGGGAAAACCCAAGAGCCATCCAAATGGAACTGTTCAGAGGAGAGTTTAATTTAATTGCTCCGCTAATGTAGTTGATATCTTCATGCTACTTTAATTCCGTTCTGGGGTGCGAGTGTTGTAGCTGGCTGACCACGTGGTCATCAGGCTGAATGAAAAGCAAAGTTGAGTTTTAATCTTTAGTTTCCAGATTTTTCCTTTGAGACTTTGTTCATGGGAGGGTCTGACAAAGTTGCTGTGAATATTGATGCTGTGTATATGGCACATTTTGTAAACGTGAAGCAAACCTGGATGAATGTTTTGTATACTGCGACAGTAGCATTGTAATCCTGCTCCTTTTTTATTCTAAATAAATAAATAAAGTACTTGTTTGTAATGTCTGTATTTTGAGGGACATGGGGTGCCAAGAGCCGGGACTGGCAAGAAACAGCAGTGTAGTTAGTTAAGCACTCAGTCCTTCAGCATAAGACTTCACACTTAAAAAAAAAAGAAAAAACAAAACCTTAATAATAAAAATCTCATGGTGGCCACTGTCACAGGACACTGGTGGTAAAGCCTGAGAGAGGACCTGGGGTCCGATACTGCCCTTCAGCCACACAACCATTCCCTTCTCCTCACCAGCATAGGTTCAACCCCTCTTTTCCCTGGCCTCCCGAACTGCTGCGTGGCAGCAATCCAGCTCCAGAAAACAATTCTGCTAAAGAACCAACTTTCTTTGATGAAAGGGGCCTGACATCACCTTTTCTTTTCTTCTGTAGAATCAAACAGTTCTTGTTGCAGAAGGAGGAGAGTAACCCAGGAGAGCCTGCTTGTAGAAGGGAATAGACAATTTTCTGTATGAATGAAGTATGTATGACAAGTCAAGAGTCACCTTTCAGGTTCAGTTTTGGCAACTGTGACACAGACAGGCAGTTACAGTTTGCCACAGTTAGAACCACAGTTCACTCCTACTTAAGATCAACTCAGCTCCAGCTGCCCCTCTGGGAAGCAGAACTGAGGCACAGGGACCTGACAAACCTGTCTTTGCTCTAAACCAAACCTTAAGGACCTGTATGAACGCCTTCCTGGCCCTTCCTTCATTAGAGTCCCGCAGCTTCTACAGCCCCTTGTGAACAGACAGTGGCAAAACCAGCGACATTTAAGGTTTTTGTGCTGGCAGCAGCACCCAAGCCTTACTGGGAAAGGTGAGAAACCAAAGGAGGTGGCAGGGGAAATCTTTCAAGAGCTACAGGGGTCTGGGCAGAGACGGTGCTGGAGGATTGGGTCTCCTGCCTGGGGGTGTTCAAGCATCCTTCCACCATAGGGCACTGAAGGATCTATTGTTTGGAGCAGGTGGACACAAAAGTTTGTGGAACACTTGGACATACCCATCTTGTTGCTGAACTACGTAATTAACAGTGTAATATATAGGGTATAGCACAACCTCCAAGCAGCCCGCTCTGCAAAGCGTCTTTGGAAAGTGGACTGATAAAAGATGTCCATTTCAGAACTGGGCAAGCTGTACAATAAGTAACGTCTCGTCCCTGCTGTGTTCTTACCACCTCCTCTTTACCTTGTTTTTCTCACTGCTCAACATTTGTTTTGCCAGAATAAGATGCTAATAAAATCAAGCGTAGTTACCAAATTGGTTTTCAAGTGTTGCATTCCAATTATAAAAGCCTAATTCCTCCTTCCACCCACTGAACCTTTTTGGTATTAACAGGCTTTACTATGCAAAGTGATGCAGGGGCTGTTTCGTTTACAGTAATTAAATGAATGTCAATTGTTTTAGTTGTTTCTGAGGGAGAGTTCTACATGAGTATTAGCATGTTCTGCTAACCCTTACGTTCTGCACTTCAGGCCTGCTGCAAACCCTTGGGGGTTGACCATTGACCTGAGACTCCGTACCCAGACATGCCAAGCGCATCTCAATGAGACGAGCTCTTTTTCTCAGTTTCTATGGAACCAGCAGAGCGGAACTAATATAGCATCCGCATATAGATGAAAGAATGAAGAGGAAAAAGGGCTTTACAGCTAAATTAATTAAGCAGATGTACCTGTCTAATTAAAGATGCACTGTCCCTTTTGTACCCTAGCTGCAGTACAAACAGTATTTAAACACACTCTCTATCCATTTCATCTATCAAAATATTTAGTAGGAACTCTCAGATGAAGGTGATATTAGCAAGATGAGCTTCCCATGTATTATTAATAGAAGGGCTCCCAATTATGCATGAATGCTACAGCATATCTTTATAGCAATAGCATAAAAACCAGCTGCCCAAGTAGGTTACCAAACAACACATTTGTAACAGGTAGGACTGTTACACGAGGGTTTGTGGTTGGGCCCTGTGCCACGGGAGCAGCCTCTGCCTCAGCCTGGTGCTATGAGCCAGAATTTCTCAGTGCAAGAGGTGCAGAGGACTCGGCTTGTGTTGCTGGTGCCAGAGGATTTGGCTTTCTTGGATTTCAAAGATATTTATTCTGAGATTTTTTTAAAGCTGCCCCCAAGGCTGGAAAGTCCAATTCCCATTCACCAAACCCTCCAAAGGTATTGAAAATTCCAACCTTAAATTCTCCCAAAATAATACAACATCCCCCTAGCTATCTGGATAACCAGGGTCTTCCCACCTGAATTTACTCTACAGGTGCAAGGAGGAAACTTGGCACGTATGTCTCTACAGCCCTCCAGATAGACCTAGACACACACAATCAAGGACAGCAACAAAGACCCAAACTTATTTACAATAATAGGATCAGAGAAGTCATCTAAAACCAAAAGGCTCTTGGAGGCCTGCACACTCTGGAAGGAGAGGGCACCTGCCTCCTGCATCTTCCCAGGCACAAAGGGTTCCAGGAGAAAGTTGTATCTCCTCCGCATCCCCTGGTCAAGGGGAATTCACGCTCACACACAAGGGAGAAATAAAGGGAGACATAATAGAGGCATCAAACTCAGTGCTTCCCTGAATCACAACAACAAATCACGCTCTTTCTTAGAAGCACTAAGGGTGTACATTTCCATAGCCAGAGATTTTCCAGTTAAGAAAGACTTAACTGAGCATTTACTGCAGCCAGATCCAGCCAGAGGAAAAAAACCCACAAAACTGGACACCAACCTGCCCAGCCACAGCTCAGTCAGGGCAGCCGTAGGCTGGAAGGCTCACTCTCTCAGGACATCAGAATTTAGTAACCTATCTGCTCATGCAGCTCTTTATGTCCTTAATTGGGTTCTGAAAGTGATGAACCTGCAACCAGTTTTCTATGGCTCTTGATATTTTTTCCAGTTGTTCTTTCTGCCCAGCCCCAGAGTTGGACTGCAGAACAGGGTGATGGGGACGGCTGGTGCATCTGCAGAGTGTTTTGTCAGAACTTTTTAAGCAATTTGAGTTAACAAGGGAGTAAAAACATCTGCACCCTGGCCTCAAAACACTGCAGTTGTCTTTGGGGAAAGTGCACTGCAAAGCTGCAAGCTTCATTTTTCTATTTGCTTTTGTATTTGCTTGCAGCAGAGTGCGACAGTGAGGTAGACAGGTAGTGCCTGTGTAGTTTTGGTGGGGACCACTGGGTGAATTAAGACACAAACACATCTAATAACTTTAATACTCATAATTGGCTTCATGGGTATTACATAGCTAAGACAAAACTACTATTCACTGAATCACAGAATCAGAAAAAGATATTTGAAGTAAACACAGGAACTTCCCTAGCCACAGTGTTTCATACCTTGAATCACAAAACAAAAGCCAAAAAAATTTCCGGTAAAGCACAATTTCTTACTCTTTGTACTTCACTCAGCCTTGGTGAGCTTCAATTTAACACAGCTGGCTGACTTCCTCTTCACTTGTGATAACCTGCCACTTCAGTGGCCGGACTGCAAACATTACAGGGAAAAGTTTAAAATCAACTGTTCCAGAAATCATCCTTATTAATTATAAGCTTTTTAATTTTTTGCATGGAAGGGGCTTGATGATACAGCTTTCTATAAACTCAAAGACAACATGAGGGTCTTGGTCAGCATTGACATAAATGGCATCTTCATAAAAATCCTCCAGTTCCTTGACATTCCTGTAATAGGTTTCCACGCGCTTCTCAATATTTTCTTCCTTGTCTCTAGGGTTCTGCCTGAGACGGACTTGGATCTCTGGTGCCGGTGCTGGTCTGAATGTCATGTGGTATCTGGAGATGAGATACAAATGCCACTGCTTCAGCTCAAGTTGAGGACACAGTGGCCATTTCCTAAGATACTCCATGTTTTTGCCTATCACAGATCCTTGGAAGTGCCTCGTTCTACTCTAGGTTAGGGTTTTAAAACAATGATTGGAAATTTCAGGGCAAGTAATCTGTCGTTCCTGCTCTCAAGAATCCTGGATACTCAAAAGCCAAGAGTTTCTCTTGAGGTGATGCAGAGAGAGTGCTGCTAGTGTTTATATACCTCACACGAGGTGTGGAGAAATCCCTATTACATGTCCAATGCTCCAGGTTCAGAAGCATTTCGAGATGTGTTCCAGATCCAATCCCAAGGTAGCATGTTTTACTTGTAATTTTTATTCCTATTTTTAAAAAATCATCTAAAAAAGCCTAATCTTAAACCTTAGCATCTGTTAAAATTCTTTGCTGTGGTTTACTGTTATGCTGATTCTGGACATTAGTCAGGAAAAAACTGCCAAACTTTGAGTGCTTTCTCTGCATTGAATTGGTGAGCCCAGACATAGCCCTGTGTCCAGGCATTGCTGAAGGAACTGTAACTTAAAATGTGTTTATGGCTCTCAGACATTGGGGACTTTCCTGCCAAGATTCAAAAGTGCAGCAACAGGGCTGCGATCACCAATATTAAATTTTGAAAGTATTTCCTATTAGCAGGCATGTGGCTGAGCTCTTCCAGCAAACAGCAGAAGGGTAGCGGAAGCACAGCCCTTGCTCAATACAGTCTCTAAATCACCATAAGCTGAGCCTGAAAGGTAGGTATGCTTCATCTTGATAAGCCACTACAAGTAGAGTTAATACTGTTATTGCTCAAGAACACTGGAAAAAGTTAAGAAGACACAAATATTCTACCTCAGTCTCTATTTCTGGGCAGATACCAGGTAGAATATAATTGCTAACATCTTTTTATAGTAGCTGAAGATAAAAAGAAGTTAATTCACTCTGAGGTAGGCTTTGGTTATTTCTAGCTTCCAAAATGCCAGAATTTGGCTTCCCTGAATTCACAGCTGAAGGTTCACTCAGCTAGTCAGCAGGCTTCAGCAAGACGGAGGATTTTTATCACCAGAGTCCTGTAGCAGTGCTGCAGTCCAGCT